GTAGCACTTAACGCTAGTTTTTCTTTTTTTTGCACACGTGTATGTATGCGCGCACACACACAGATATACTACATATCGTATGTCCTCAAGTTTTTGTTCCTTTCCAAATAACCGAACTTGGGACACCGTTAAAACATATTTGATGATCGGGTACCATCTTACATTATCCTTTTTTAAAAGAATACATTCAGGCTAACCACAGTTGTCTTCCAGCATCTTTGGCTTTCGAACTCTTCAACTGTTACCGAATTAGCCAAAGGTGAAGAAGGATTATCTAGTCCTCGAAAGATTCCGATTTCATCTACAACTTCTCAATAAAGTCAAAAGGGAAACGATGTAATTATTTTCAAATTGCTTTCGAAATGCAACGATTTCCTCAGTGTGAAGCGCAACATAAAAATGGTTTAATGTTTCGCCACTGATCTTGGTTATATTAGCGTTGTCTTCAAGTTCAAATCTAAATCAGAAAAACCAAAAGTGCATGTTAATTTCTTGCAGCCACCCATCACCACATGCAGCTGACCGTTCCAAACACATGGTAACCAGAAAGGAGGGTTCTAATCTACACTCTCATCACCGCAAAGGTTTGCAGAACACAGATGGCAGAGAAAATCAGTGCCTCACATTTACGGAATCCATGATCTCAAGGCCACAATTTTGAAAGATTTTATTGTTAATTAAGTTAAACTACGAGCTAATACGACTGATGTTGACCATGACATTATAATCACATCGTCGCGAATTCGGAAACAAATCAGTTCTTCAGAACACTCCAAAATAGCAACTTTTTCGGCAGTATTACCCATGATCCTGTTCAGTTACAGAATAAATCCAGATGCACTGGTCAGTTTAATTTAGCACAACTTGGCTTAGGCCACATATGCAGCTCCACTCTTGAAAGCATTATTGACGCAAAATGGATTGAGAAATTAAGTCTTTCAGTAGTCATCATGGCGAGGCACATCATTTTTGACTAAGTTGTCACTGCGGCGGTTGAAGCTAATGATCTAACAGATTCTCTCTCGGACAATTAGTCTTTTCAGTCGATGGAGACATAATTCGTTAGAACTAATTTTGATCATTCTCCCCAACAGATTATCAAATCGTTTCAAAGTAATAGGAGACCGTTGTCATTTCCAGCTTTAAATAGTTAAGTGACAAGGATTCCTCACTTTTTCAGAACGACCGTGCATCTTTTCAGAATGCTCTCTTCAACATCTTCACTAGCCTGCACTAGTGTAACCGAAAGAGTTGTTGCTGTTATCGAGTGTTCGGTTCAGGATTTCATCAGTGTCAGTCAGTTAACAGCTAAATTTGGTCACTCATCCTGTGCCAAATAATATGTTCCTCTCTATTAATT